CATCATGGGTAATAATAATAATAATAATCATACTATTCATAATAATACATTTCTAGCCACTCACTCATTGTTTCATCCCTCCACTTACAGCACTAGTAATGTTGTTAGTTTGTCTATCAATTGATGCTTTTTGATATGATACATCAGGTAATTTAGGATTGGGGAGATTTGACGTAGTGAAATTATATCTTTGCAATCACAAATCTCATAGCTAACATAGCACCAATATATCATGAAGATCTAACAGCAGTGCAGAAATAATATCTTAAAATATTTAGGCTTGCATTTAAAATATACATAAGAGAGAGATGGCGTGGCCTACAAAGAACTGAAGGAAAGTGCACACATGTTCGGGCTCATAACATTAATATCGGAGGAAGGAGCGGAAAGCCACACACTCATGAATCAGATACGAGCTTTGTATTTTAAATGACAGCAATTAATGTTTCAGATCATAGAGGCCTTTGGCAGGAGAAAAAGAAGGGAGTATCCCAACTACATATGGCAACACAAACTACAGCTTCCAAAATACAATGTTGAAATAATACTTTTCTGAAATGGTCCAAACATAAACTGAGTATTATAACCTTCTTAGTGGTTGGATATGTGTCATGGATGTTGCAATGGATTGCACAAGTGAAACAAAGCGGTACCGAGTAAACTGCCAACTGAGTGTAGATCTAAATGACATTGAAAAAAGGTTTAGAAAATGAAGGGGCTGAAGAATTTAATATTCTAAAGTTAATGGATTTAAAGGAATCAAACTCACAATCATACAGGACAATTATCAGGTGTGTTGCTATGCACAAAGAAGTAAAATGTCATAAAATGATCTGAGATCAAACAGTTGGATTGTCTTTATTAATAACACACCTACATTATTTTTTCTCTTAGCCACACAAATTGTATGTGCAACTTGGAGATGTATTTTGTAATTTTGTATCTGTTTTTCCATTTTGTACTGGACACAGCGTTAATGTTAGAGGGTTTGAATGACCTCTCGCTCCATTTCTATGTTCTCGTTCTCAACTGTCACTGTCATGTTTTATATGTCACTCAGATGATTCTTGGCTTTTTCCAGAAGACAATGTACTGTAATATTGATTCAATGTCCTTCAACATCACCAAATACCTTAGTATTGTTTTTCACATCCAGCCTAGAATAACAGGGATTATGCACACCGTGATTTCGTTACCATCAGTCATATTGTTGGCATATTTCTTTAACTTAAAAGCCTTGGCACGCAGTATAGGTTAATTATGAGAAATGTGAATGAAGCTGGGAATTAATCAAACATAACAAATGTATGTAAATTATAATCCAGTTATTATTTAAAAACTAAGGGGGCTAGGTGTGTTGTCAAACTAATTCATTAATATAATGACAAAAAGATAAATGGGCATTAAAGGTCACCTATTGTGCAAAATTCACTTGTTCATGTCTTTTATACATCAACATGTGTCCCCTCTGTGTAAAGAGATTCTGAAAGGTTCAGGTTAACAGATTCTCTCACTTTCTGTCCTGATCCATTTATATAACAACCTGTCTGAAAATGAGCTGATCAGATTTGGGCCGCTTTATGATGTCATAACGATTTGTTGGCTTGTGTAACCATTAGCCAATCAACAACCAAGGTAACCCCCCCCACCTTATCACCTGAATCTCCTCCGAGAGCACCATTGTGTTCTTTTTAACCAAATATATGGCAGAGGGGCGTGGGGAGTGGCTCCTTATTTTCATCTAAAGTAACAGACAGAAAATCAGCACTTTTGAAACAGGGCTGAAACAGAGGGGATTATGGGATGCTACAATGATCTGTTTGGTATTTCGAGCCAAACACTTCAGAGATATGTTTTGTATACATCTGAGACCTATAATATATTGATGAAAAACAGTATAATAGGGGACCTTTAAATCGCTCCATGTAGAATATTTACATCAATTAAACCCAAAGTGTTTGGATGGATGTCACTTGGAAGTTCATTTAAATGCATGTAGCATTTCCACCTTCAGATACAAATTGACAATAACAACTATGTAGCAACAAAATGCAAGACCCTCAATATAAACATAAATACAGTGAACACAAAGCCTTGACATTAGCACAAAGAGGCAGGACTGTGTAAAATTGAGCCCTTCTGGATCCACTAAACCTGTCATGTTTTTGATTGTATCTTTCAGGCAATTCTTACCTCCGCTGCACCTTCTGAGACTCTTAATACACAAGGACTTTCATTGTTGAGAGCACATTTCAGGAGGGAGAACACAGAAGGCACAGAGTCTGCAGCGAGTTTTTCATGATGATTTAAACGACCTCAAGAGAGAATATCAGAACACAGATGCTGGAGTCATTTTCTTTTTTAGGGATTTATCTTTTCTTAAATTGCCGTGAGTCTTTTAAAGTAATAGTCTTTGTCATCAGCCCCTCTTCCAAGCACAGCGCTGAAACCACACATAAGTGCCTGATAAGCTTTTAACATCTCAAAATGTTTGTAACAAAAATTTGAAGCACCACTCCACATAATGTGTCACTCCCCATGCTGGGTCTCATTAATGGATGGGGTAATCTAGCACTTTTATATCTGTATTAAACAGTTTCCTGTTAAGATTACCGCGTTTCATTAACATGATGGATAAAATGCAGTTTCGGGCATCAGACTGATGACTTTATTAAAAGTTCAATTACACTCAGATTTTAGAGCACTGACATTAAGTAACACACGACTATCCTTTAACAACAGATTAAGGTCACAGAAAGACATGTGCAGCCTTAAATAGTAGCTGCAATCACATTTATTCTGATAAATACCAGAACTAGTGTGGTCTTCAGTAAGATCTAGGTTGAACCTGCCATATCAATTCAAAAGAAGCATATTTGTTATATAAATACAATTCTTGATTACTCTCTATTTAGGAAAACCTCCACTCTTCCTACACATGTTCACACACTTGGGTTCAGTCCAAGTTGTTCTCCTGGGAAGAGTCTTCTCAGGGGAACCATCAGTGTTTACTTGTTTACTATTTAACAGACGGCATGCCTTCTGTTGAATAACACCAGCAGTAATTACTACTTATTCCTGCATTTCCCCTCCAGGGATTAAAAAGGGATTATCTAATATCGTATTAAAACATTTACAACAATGAAAATACATAGCAAGGAACCACAAGAGTTCTCAGAGCTTGAAACACATCCATCTGTACTTTCTTTTTCTATTTTTCGGTGGAGCGCTGGATTTGGTGCATCATAAATATTACAGTTAAGCAACTTTTTGTGTGCAGCCATCTGCCAGATATGTCGCTCTACAATTCAGGAACACGGTTTTGCCATCTGAGCAAATGCTGCTATTTATGTCTTGATATCTGTATAATTTAGATTAAGATTAAAACTTGAGTTTCCTAAAAATCAACTGGAACATGAGAGCAAAATGGTTTAATGTGATCTTAAAACATATACAGACAATTTGTTGTTTATCTAGTTTTAAATCTTAGAGCTCACATTTAAAGTTGTTTACAGAACTTGGATAAGTGTAATGGGGATTTTTGATTATGAAACAATGTAAGATTCACAAACATAAAAGACCAGACCCCCAATTAAGTGAAATATGAATCTAAATGCAGTACATTTAGATTTGGAACCACACTGTGTAAGAACATCATTTTACTTCTCCACTGTCTCAACTAAATCGGAGGCGAACAGTTAGTGAAGCTAAGGATGAAAACACTTCGAGTGGATGTGAGTGTGTATATGTGTGTCCTTCTGTGTGAGCTGGAGAGAGACCACAGGACAGATCTGGGACACTCAGCCATCAGCAGCAAAGTAGCAGAAAACTGAAACCAGGGCAGCCACTGATCCATTGAGAAACATCGTTCCATATGTGACAGGTCGCCCGCCCTTAAATAAGCTCATGGATCTTCTCCATATTTTATCATAGTCATCCATATTCATTTACACTATAGTAGTGGATGTGGACAACAGTGTGTCGTTTGGGGCAACACTTTACTCACATGTGGAAACTTCCAGGCCACTGAGTAACCGCAGTGAATAATAATACTGAAGTACATTTTGGACAAGTGCTGCAATATGGGCAGCAGGGTAGATTGGAAAGAGGGGGGGGGGGAGTGGAAGTAGTGCCTTTAATGTACTGTATTCAATCTCAAAGCATGGATTTTCCACAACTTTATCTCTGTGAGTCACAACAATGACATGTTTACATGCTCACAACACACAACAGTTTGCCTAGGGCCCCCACCGACTCTAGGATCGCCACTGATGCAGAGTTAACGTCACACGGTATGTATTTCCCGTGTAAACGACGTGCGAGTGTTCACAACATTAAGATGGTTGTATGATTAATAAGTTGGATGTACTGTAATTAAAGTACTGTTGTTTGGCTGTTGTGAGGCATCAGATTTGTTTGGTTTTCAGAGTATAACATAACTTCTGTATAACATAGCACCATATTAAATACAATACATCATTACAATTCTAACATATTAATGTTAAACAGTATAAGAAATTAAATATCCACTGGATACATTTTTAAGAATAATTGTGCGTAATATTGCTTTTCTTCCCAAAAAATGACTTTGGTCTGAGTTATTAAAATTGCATCTACTCCTTCGTGAAGTAAACAACACATTTAAGTGCAAGAAAAATGTCTTCTTCTTAACTGTAGTGAACACACTTCACGCTGAATGGCTTCCAGACTAGCTGTGCTCTCATTTAAGATGAGCAGAGAGAAACTTTACCCCTCGAGCAGATACATGTGAAAACAGCCTTTTAGTGTCAAACTCTGCAAAAACATCATTCTGCACAGCGAAGCTCGAACATCCAAAGAAATAAAAAATAAGCAAAACCCAGAGTGAAGGGAAACTTTAGGAAAATGAATTATACATAGTCGGACTTCCTGTGTTAACGCCTTATTGATCCTGGCACAAAGATAATATACAAATACAAATATAAACAGTCATATCATCACCAGACAAACATTACACTCACCCTCCTTTGATGTAATCCAGGAAGGTGTGCTCTGACTCCACGTTGAATGACAACAAGGACACCTGAGGGAAAGAAAAGGTTGAAACTGATTATCATGCTTTGTAATTAGGGAAAACCAAATCTACCAATCTGCACATTAACACTGACCTCTGAGCTAACCACCCACAAAATGACTTATCCATGCAGAATGATTTTGACGCCCTGGCAGCATATTAGTATTACAATCACTGAGAGAACATCAGCCTGCCTGTGCGCTGATTGATAATCGGTGTGATGGATAACTAGCCACCGATTTTAATTACAGAGTCAACGCATACAACAAGAGCAGCCAAAGTACTCAGTAAAAGAAACCTGGCTCATTTATTAACATCCATCACTTCTCGTCACTAATAGGACACAGACAAGAGGTCCTTTGTGCATAACTAGGGACTTGGCGTTTCACCCCGTTTCAGGTCAGGAGAATGTTTTCCCTTGTACTTAAATGTACTGTCTGGATCATAAGCCCCAACACTGGGAATGGAAAAAAACATTTAACAGAGCAGAACTGCCTCATGCAATCCACTGAGAGAAAACTTCCCCGAGATATAAAAAGAAAATGTCGGGGTGTGAGTGCAACGGGAGAAATGCTCTTATCTCAGAAGTCAGTCTCACCGTCCCAGAGTTGATGTATCTCTTTTTCTTTATTTTCTTCTTTGCATTCACCACCTGGTATGAAGGCAGAATAGAAAAGAAGAATGATGATTATATAAACTTTCAGCACAGTTCTTGTTATCCACCCTTAGGCAAGTAATAAAAACATCTTTGTCCTACTACTCCATGTCTGTAAGGATAATGGGGCAGAGCGACTGAATCCAATAACTGCAGGAGGGGAGAATTGAGATAGCATTGATCATGCCTCGCAGCCAGATACTGATTATCCAGGGGGATTCGTATAAGCACCTGCACTGCGCTGTACATGTTTCCAGGCACATTACCGAAGGTGGGGATAGTGGAACAAATATAGCTTTAGCAATGATTCACTTGTGATAAACAGAATGATAACCACATTTAGACTCAATTGTAGAAATGCACCAGTGGAGAACAATGTGCTATGTGGGCAAATGCGTATATAAAAAGGTGAAAAGCAGGAAGACCTGATTTTAAATGATAACGGTACTCGAATATTTTTTAGAACCTGCAGGCAAAAACATTTGTCAAACAGTAAGCTATCGTAATCCAAAATCTCTACTGCTTATTCCATCGGTCTGCATAAAAACATACTATGAAGCACGAGCCTGGAGGGAACTGTGCTAAAGTAAATAAAGTAAAAGGTACACAGATGATGCCTCACAGCACCACAGCCATTAGGGATTCACAATATTGGATTTCTGCAGACATCCGATACGTCAATGTTTTCTTACTTTTTTTGACCGTTGCCAAATACTAAAACTGGTAACACCACATATTTAGTTTCAAACTAATTGCAGAGAACATTAGGTCCCTCATTCAGAGCAGTTAACATATTATGCTGTTATTGAGATGCAGACATTAAATGTAATGCTTTTTAAAATGTACAAGTTCATTGGGGAAAATAATGAAACATACTTCAACTATAGATATATTTATTCTGATGTAACATGTTAAAACACAACAGAAACATTTTTCCAACTAAATTGTTTCTCCTGGCTATATCACATTTTAAGGTGTTTATCTGCGGATGATCTGCCGGTATCATCGTGAATCCCTGGCAGCCATCAGTCTTTCCATGTTCACACCATGTCACACAGACATCACCTTTAATTACATCAGGCTCTGTTGACATTAGCCTGCTGTCACCCTCACTCACACAGCTAATGTTTGCAGGCCCCTGCATGTCAGGTTGAGAACACGGGAATCTGAAAAGTTGAACACGGCGGCCGGTGACCTATTCAAATTCTTTATTTGTCAATGGTGAAGAGGTAGCCTCATGTTGTTTTTGACCACATCTTGAAATTGATTCAAGAGCACTGACCTGGAAAAGAATAAATGAAGGAATTTCTGTGTTTTACTTTCTAATTAAAATACAAAGGTGTTTGGTGAAGGGTAATGGATGCACCTTCATCGGCCATATCAGCAATGGGAAAGGGCAACTCTGCATGCCACTCACTATTCTGTCTCTCTTTCGCACTTGGTCTCTCCTTACCTATTTCCATCTTACCACGACCCTCTAACTCTTCGTTGGCCCTGTTCTTTCCTTAAGCCACCTCCATGACTAATTCAAAAGCTAATGTAAAATGGCAAGTGTTTTAATAGGAGCCCCGAAGCACTGAACAGTAATACCCAATCTTACCCTCCAAGGACCAACCCAAAAAAACTGTAATCAGCAGCAATATGTTGCACTCCCATTTGTATTCTCCCCGCAGAAACACCCTTCCTCATCTGGTCAGCTGCACCACTTAACCTCTCAGATGCTTAATGCTGTGCAAGGTGAGGAGATGCAGAGGACGCTAGCTGTTGATCTCAAATAGCCATAACTCTAACAACTCCAACAACCAGAGCCTCCTGAGGTCATTCAACTTTGGATGACTTGCTGAGTCGAAGGGTGTTCTGATTTGGACTTAAATTGAAGTGTGTTTCTTGTTCCCAGAAAGTGAGCTTTTAGGCTAGTCATTGTGATAAAGCTGCAGCCACACATTCAGTAAAAGGTTGCGTACAGTTCTGTGCAGTTGTATGTGCTTCACCTGATTCGAACACCATAAGTAAGGCATATGGACACACAGAAATATATATTCAGAACTGGATATAAGGCCTAGGCTTGGAAAATTAGACATTAGGAGAGGTATGTTTTATATTGTGACCTGAATTATACTTGACAGGAGTTAAAAGAGCACAAAAAAGAACAGGATGAAGAATAACAATCTTCTAGACATAGTGCCGTGTAATTAAAATACTCAATAGTGAGGTCAACTTTAAGTTAATATGTACAATTATTATATATTTTAAAAGCCTCTTCCCTCTGAAATTAAACACAAATGGTTAGGACCTCCGACCGGCTGCCTTTATCTGAACTCACCTCGTGGACGTTCAACTGGTTTTGACCTCGACAGAGCGCTTTGTAGCTTGTGGTGAATTCACCAATGAAATCATGACTTGAGAAAAGAGACAAAAAGAGTATGACATGCTGTTCATTCAGATAAAGAAGGTACAACCCTGACACAGAATACACTTAGTAGAAAAGATTTATGAAGGTGATGAAAATGTAATTTATTGAGGAGGATATTATCCAGTAGGTTTTCAAATACAAGACATTTGCTTTTTAATGATGATGCATACATAATGACAGTAAGATAAATTAAAATGTAGAATTACAAAAACATTTACAGTATATAAGAATTAAAAGTGAAAGAGCTTTGCAGTTTTAATTGTGCAGAAATGTGTACAATATCATAAGAGTCTGATGAATGGCAAAGGGATGTCACTAAATAGTGTATTCATGTAATGCAATAAAGTATGCATATGTATACTGTGTGTGTGTGTGTGTGTGTGTGTGTGTGTGTGTGTGTGTGTGTGTGTGTGTGTGTGTGTGTGTGTGTGTGTGTGTGTGTGTGCATCCATTACCTCCCATCTCTGTCCCAGTCATACACCTCTGCCTTGATTGCCCTGTAAGACACATCACAAAAAGGAAAAAGTGTTGAGAACAGTTACGTAACACATGAAAGATACATCTAATTGTCCTTGAACCGAAACTTCCCAGAGAGCCTTTCCTGAAATGACACAGTTAAAAAAAGCTGTTAAAGCTAATTAATTACTAATGAAGGCTGAATTAAATCAACTTTTTTGCACGCGAAAGATGCAAACGTCTTTTTAAGGAGCTAAAAGGGTGCCAAAAATAGTTCTTTACATCATTAGTCACTGACAAATCATTTAACCTAAACTGCCACCACTAAAAACCCAAACAGCCTACTTCCTGCCAGGCTTGCATCCAATAAAAGCAACAAAAAAAGTATTGGTAAACTGCCATGAAGGACTTGTTTATAATTAAGTTTGTGTTACTTACTGAAGACAGAGTTCGGGGTTGATAGAGCTGCACATTTCACTGCACATGCCAAAGATATAAAAGTAACCTCTTGGGAGGGAGCATCATTTCAAGTTCTCAAAAAAGAGTTTGGAAGGCAAGAAACTAAATAACTATGCCTGAGATAATTTGCTGAGAATGAGGAAGGTGCTTGCTCTTTGTATCTGTATCTGATGGAAAGATCAGTGGCTTTGCCCCTTTCCTCCCATCAGCTGCTGTCAATCATGTGTCTCTGGTCTGGAGGAGGATTGGTGAAGTAGGGCTGCCCTGTTATCCTGACCTGAACTCATTCTATCTGCACAATGCAAGAGTTTTAATGTGAATATGTGAAACAACCAGTCACTTTTTCAATTTCAATTCTGAAAAAACATATTACATAGCCAGATAGTGAGATTTCAGAGACTTGATTTGAGAAACAATCACATTTTTCGTACACTTTACTAAAAATAAGTGTGTTCTGATATTCATGGCAGATGACTAACCAGTGATGTGTCAGTTAGCATACTTATTTTTCCTAATCGAATTTTTCGTGCAAGAAATGATCATGAGGAACACTACGACGCGATCGAGATCGGTTGTTGTTTTGACTTGCCAAAGGTTATTGTGGTAGAAGAATATATCAAATATAACTTTCTGTTTTCCTGTAGTGTAATATGCTATACTGCTGAGTGTAGGGGGAATCTTTTTTCTCTTTGTAGCTCAATCTGGGGAGTCTGCAGTATCTATAAAGATGAAAGAGCTCTGCATTTGACAAATGCCTGAGTCAAAGGAAATACAAAGCCTCAAAATCACTGTCGGATTATAAACCAGGACAACCCCTATTTTTACAAAGCCAATATGTTTGAAACATTATTCAATGATTAGCTGAGAATCAAAAAAATTACCAAGCAGTGGCTTTCGCTGTCTAGGACTTGAAAATAGAGCACATAAAAAAAGCTAACTGTAGATATTTCACAGGCACTGCAGGGAGACCCCTACATCTTGCCATTAAATCCTCAAAGGGAATCAGGCTCCTTTCATGCTTCCACTCCATCTGTCTGACCCAATTAGCTTCTCCAGGTGAGCAGAGCCGGGATCGCAGTGAAGAACCTAGGTTGACACCCAGCGTGTTGGAGAGGGCAATACCTGACATGTTCTTTGACGATTTGTACCCTTTCCCATGGCTGTCTGAGCCTACACACTTTTGTGCTTGTGCGAACACACTCACACTCACACTCACAAACGAACACATAGCAGGACTCCTCTGTATTTTGAGACACCTGTCAACATCTTAAGAGCGATGAGTGCAGCCACGTTCCCTTCACAATTGACTTTTTCCTCCATTTTTGTATGACTTTTCTGCCAAAACTGAGATCCAGATAAGATAGGAGTTTCACCTGGAGCCGCCAATCAGAAACTTAAATGCTCTGAAAGGCCAGTTGTGGGCAAATCAATAAACAGCCAGCCAAGATACAGTAGCTTATAGTCAAAAACTGTCCGGTAATGTTTCTCTTTTACACCAGATAAAATAACAGTAGAAAATCAATGGTGTCTAAATTTGACACTACCAATCCAACACCACATATTGAAAATCTGCTTGGCTTTGATTTCCAGTGGAAAATCACACTTCATCTGCAGAACACTTTATCGTTCATCCTGTTTTATCTCACCTCTCATAGTCTCCGTTGCAGAGCGCTCTGACAGGGATGGAGAAGGGCTGCCATACAGGGTGCAGCGTGTTTTTCATCACTTCAGTCTTGTGGCAGATGGTGAACCTGGAAACGCAGGTCGACAGGGATTCAAAATCCTAAAAGACAAATCTCTAAGAAAAAATACAGTGTGAAAATATTCCTGCTGCGCTTTGCTTTGAAACCATGTCTGCATGAATTCATCTCAGTGCCTCTGAGTTCAAGGGATTTCAATGTAATTCTTTCGACCTCGGATCACTTCCTCTTTGATCCCCACACCATCCTACCTGTCTTTGATAGGCTAAATGAAATACCTGCTGAGAAGAAGAAGAAGCAAGAGGCAAACTCACGTTCCATCCTCATTACTTCTGTAGAAGACCATGAAGGGGTCTGACTTTCCAAAGAAGTCCTTCTTATCTAGTTTGTTGGCACAGAATTGCATGGTGGCGTAATCCTGCAGACAAAGAAAAGAGAAATGAAGAGACAAAAAAGTAAAGGACATTTTAAATCCATGCTTCTGCCTCTGTTTTCCTACTGTTTGTTTATACATGCTGTATGCCAGGATATAAAAGCTCTGGAGCAACAAATAAAAGCAATGTGCTGAATTATAATAAGAGAGGGCAAAACAAGCCAGTGGGCCCTTGTTCCCAAACATCTTTTCTTTATTATGCAACTCCTGCATTACAACAGTGGATGGGATAAGAGCTATCAAATGGAAAATAGCTTGGTGTGCTGCATATAATCATGGTAACAGTATCAGAGACAGAGCAGAGGGAAGGAAATGGATGCTAAAACCAGCAAATGGAGGAGGGGAGGGGTTGTGTACAAAAGGGATGTGGAGTATGTGAGTGCTGCTAATGATACATTAGAAAGGCTGGCATTAACATAATTATACTAATTTTAGGCAGCATTTCAATGAGCGCTGCCATTAAAAGGACAATGAACCAGCCCCATAATGCTCTCGCTTCCAGATAGTCTGCCTGTGGTCAAGATATTAGTTGGTGTTGCACAGTGAGCACAAACTGGATAGGTAAATGTCCAGATCAAAAGAACTCTGCAGTGTTTTTCAGAAATGACAGCTTTTATCTCAAGATCATTTTATCTGAGACTTTCTTTGAGCATGCTCAACATACGGCATATGCAAGTCAAGAGTCTAACCATCATATCTTTAAGCCAGAGATGTGAGACCAGAAGACATTCAGAGCCCTCCACTGGCAGAAGAAGAGCTGTTTGTTTCCCCACTGGTCTCTCTAGCTTTTAGGTTTTGAAGTGCAGCTATTAGATCTGAATCAGCATGGTGCTTGGCTAGCCCTCCATTGATTGGTTTGACCCACATCAGTGAGGCTCGATCTGCCTCTGACCTGCCTCTCACTAACCCCCATCACGGAGGATCAGCCTCTAAGGCAACCGCTGAGAAAAAGATGGATGCCACTAAATGGATACTTTTCTAGAAAATTGAGCTGATTTAATTATCCCCCATTGCTTCTAAATAACATTTTTGTTTCCAATCAGCATTGTGGAAGTGTTAAGAAGAAAAGTAAAAGCGCTGATTAAAAGTGTGAAGCGGGGGTGTAGTATATCTATCATTTTTCATTCTATTGTTTTGTATTCCCTTTGTCATATTCTGTTATTATCTATGCGTCTACGGATTTAACAATATATGTTGGTGAGAGAAATGTTTACATTTTTTGCAGTATGGTATAAACCAAGGGGATGTCTAACATACGGCCTGCGGGCCAGATTATTATTACATGTCACTTGTTAGACGCTTTTATCCAAAGCGGCTTACATACTCAATACTGTGGACAATCCCCACAGGAGCAATTTGGGGTGAAGTGTCTTGCCCAGGGACACAACGACATGCAGTGGGGTTTGAACCTGTGACCCCAACACCAAGGCTCTATCCACTGCGCCACACGCCCCCATTATGGGTCCAATCCAGCACACTTGAGAACTGCACAACTTTGCAAAAGGAGCCATTAATCCAATACTTCATATAAAATGCAATGCTATCCCTATGTGCCCATTGTGGGCAGCCCTGTCCTAATTAGAGTAGCAGGCCCTATACTGATATGCTATTATACGTCCCATATGCTTAGGCTACATGACACAACACTGACACTGAAAATGTCCTTGTCAAAAAGTAGAAAATGGGAAATAGAGTGTCAGGGTTTTCAATAATGACCAGTTCGTATTTCTTCACAGAGGTAAATTGGAAGCAAGTGTCCTTGTTGTGTTCACAGTAGCTTTCAGTGCTTAAAGTAATAATATTCAGCACCACCAGCAGACAAATCATGGTGAACAATAAAATATCTTGGAAGGACATATGAGAACAGACACGATAAATTAGTTGTTGTCAACAAGAGGTCTGCTTTTAGTTGTAGCTGAGAGATCAGCAAGGCATCTCAGGCTGTTCATCTGCTGTTTGTAAATGGATTGTTCATTTTGTGAATGTACTTTTACATACATAAGAGACAAGGCAAGGCAAGGCAAGGCAAGGCAAGGCAAGGCAAGTTTATTTATATAGCACCTTTCAACACAAGGTAATTCAAAGTGCTTTACAAAAATGGAAGACATTTTAAAAATGGCATTTAAAATCAGTCATTAAAAAGGAAAGATAATAAAATAAACATTAAAAGAAAAAATACATGGATAAAAGTTAAAAGTTACAGTGCAGTTTAAGATGTGAATAGTTCAATTAAAAGCAGCGGCAAAAAGAAAAGTCTTCAGCCTGGATTTAAAAGTAGTAAGAGTTGCAGCGGACCTGCAGGTTTCTGGGAGTTTGTTCCAGATATTCGGAGCATAATAACTGAATGCTGCTTTACCATGTTTAGTTCTTTACAAATGTAAAGCCATTGTTTATAGGTTTTTGTACAATGAGCTTACTGGTCCAGACCACTGGAGATCTAAATGGGCAGTTTGTGTCCCATGAACTCAAATACTTTTAGAAACATTGTTAGTCCAGGTCGTACCTGAATCTTATAAAGCTCATCAATGGAGTGGGTTTTTGCAAGAACATTTCATTTGACATGTTCCTATTGTGGCTTGTTTTGTGGATTTAAAGTTTGCTCCGGTCAGTTATCTAAGGCCTTATAATTAGAGGCATTCTATCAATATCCCGCCTAACGCTGACTTGGCCTCTAGAATTACACTTGCATGGCAACGCGGTGCCTTAAGCCTTCATTAGGCACAGATAACACATACCAACCTTGGCGCCCAACAGTGTTTTCTCATTAGGTCAGCAAAAAACGGCAGAACATTCATTTCAAACACTGAGGTTTAGGAGCAGCCAGGGAATACTGAGTGCAGTCTGCATCTTTCTTTCAATGTCTCTGCTCCATCAGGATGGGATGGGGTTTGTGGAAAGAGATGCAAACTGCCAATTTCAAAAAGTGGGACTGGTCTTTCAATATAATTCCAAACCAATGCCAACAATAGCTATACGAATAGCGTTATATGCTAACCAAATATGAGCCAAAGGTTTGTATGAATCATCATTTAAAAAGATATATATTGTTATGCTTCATGCATTGCTCCTTTCATCTGGTTGTTTGTCTACGTGTCTATGACCATAAGCCTAATTTTTGTCAATGTGAAGAAAGGTTTTACATACGCACAAAAAAGCAATCAAAAGACGGCGGTGATACATATTTTTAAGGTTTTGCTTGAGGGAAACAAATCATACAATCCAAAACATCAACAGTAATTACAATGTTTGGTGGTTATATGAATGGATGGTTGTGATGCAGTATTGGATACAGAAAGAACCTCTCCTATGTGAAGTGCCGTCTGGTTTACTCAGATTTAAATTAGCCAGAGCCGCTGCTGGACTGTGAGGATGATCTGAGAGAGAGCCAGCCGCTGCTCAGCATGTCCTGAAGTTACCACAGCCAAGAAGAAGCCTTTGATCCAAGCAGAGGCTGTTACTCTGTTTTATGATACCTGGCAAAACCCCCACCAATGGGAGAGCCTCTCCCTGCAGAACTTCCCCAGTCGTTCCCACTCCGCTGGTTTCCCCAAACAAGAGTTGTAGTGTTTACCTGAGGCGATGCAGCAACTCAGCTGCTGCCATTTATTGGTCACAGGTGGATTATAGAATAAACACCATCCAGATGGATAGTAGGACTCTTTAAATGCTAGAATTCACAGGTGTGGGACTTGTACCGACAGCAGGGCCTTCAGATTATTCAACTATAATATGTGTTTTCTCTCAGTTTCCTGTCCCAGACTCAAACGTGAGTTATTTCCATTTATGCTCAAAGTTTGAGTAAACAAGGCAGGTCTGGTGTGAAATGTCAAGTCTTTGCCTCTCTAATTGAGTCTGGAAAAAAGGAAATTGTCATTTGTACCAGTAATGATCATTTGCATTTATATTAGAAAACTGCTTCTTCAAGTGGTGCTTCTCAGTGATTATGCTAACTTCTATCACTGCAGATCCACTGCACCTGATAGCAGCCCTTCAATGAATGTGCTTGCTTAAATTCAGCCAGAACCAGAACAGTAAGGGCTATCTTGGCAGTTTGTATTAGTGTTGGGAAAATACTGAATGTGCTATAAAGTGGCTTGTTTTTCAAACTCAAATTGGGGACTGCTTTTTGTTTGTTCATGGAACCAAATGTTTTTTGCTCAACATGTAGGACTGGAAGTTATAAAGCTTTAAACGTTAGATGCTTACATGCGTTATTATATCATAAAGTATTCATACAGCAGTTGCAGCTCAATGACTTGCTTTATAGCCTCCCAGGGAGGCCAGTTGTTCCGGCCAATAAGTCTTTCTACTTTGCTGCACTGGCAGCAGTGTAATGCGATTATTTACTATCTTCATTTAGCAGTGTAGAGAGAAAGCCAATGGGCATTAGTGAACACAGTTTATTAGGGCAGATTCATGGATTAACACGCCACACATCGGAGGAGAAGTGATTGGGGTAGAGGCAAGATCATTAAATAGCTATTGAAATTCACAGTATTTTCACTATGTACACAATTTCCAATGACAAACGCTTTTGCATAGTGACATGGTGTATCCTGCTGGTTCAATGAGGCAGTTATGCAACACACATATATCTAAATGAAGTCAAGGCTATTAAACAAGCCACTCCACCTCAGCAGGTATGTGAACACTGCTATATGCATTGTGTGACTTACACAACATGCACCATTTCCCGACAGTGTGTCGCCATAAACAGCTCCAGTGAATCTGTGCGATTGCACTTTAATGTATCGTTTTTAAAGGGCCCACTTCAAACTAGATCAGTGAAAGATGCAAAACATGTATTATGCAACCTACAATGTAAGCTAATAGACAGTACATGTGTTAAAAACTGTTCAGACTTACTCTGCAGTTTCCCAGCTCCTCCGCAGACAAGATAATGGTCCCACATTTCTTCCCAGGTATGCCACTGTGAAAACAAATAGAGATCATTCAAAACAACAAAGCACAGCCTCTCGATCGTTTTGTCGAGAGGCACTGTGGGTCGAATTTAGTAATACCCACAAGTCATGGAATATAGTTAACGGCACACAACTACGATCTGAATAACTCACTGATGGAAGAAAATATAGCAGCATTAACCATTTTTGGCTAGTCTGTTAATCTTTTAAAAAAAAAAAAAATCTTCATTGGTTTATATTGAATACAGTACTTGTAATGTCAGCTCAGAGGACATTTTAACATTAGCTGTATATGTTACATACTGAACTTGGAAAATGGGGACTCTAATATTTCACTGCATGAAAAAGAATGGGCTATGAAAAACATACATTTGAATTCTCCTATCTCAAACATTTTAAAGGGTTTTAGTTATGTATTTGTAAATTATTTTGGTCATTGTGAAAACCTATAATATCTGTGAATCATAACATAACTTTAAAGCATTATAGCGCATCGCAAATTGTGACATTAAGTGACAGTTTGACGTCTCTAATGAGCACATTGTTTTGCTTCACCACAGCAACTGAATAAAAACAGGTGAAAAACAGTGGCTCTTAAGTTTGTTTTTAGTACAATGTGAAATAAAACTGCTGGGACACAAGGCTCCTCTGATCCCTGTTTGCCTGAATTCACTTCAAACCTCCGCAGGCCTGCAGTTGTTTACCGCTGATTCCCGCTCCAGCAGATGATCAAGACATCGCAGCACAAGAGAGGTTCCCTGCGTGTCTGTTTTTCCACGCTTCACCTCTTCAGTAGCTTGCCAACCCAATGGCTGCTATCAGAAATTGAGACAGAGTGGCTCCAGATTTCTTTAAGCGGAACAAAATGAGATTTCTTTATATCCAATCTCTGGCAACTCTCTGCATCCACTGAAGCTGTGGGAAAGAAGGCGGGAACCGTTCCACACAACACAAAGCAAGACAGCACTATCCACTCCAGCTGCTGACACTCCTACAGTATCATCTTACCAGATACAAAAAGGAAATTACACGGGGGTCCTGCTGTGGTCTTAGCTGGAGAGCCTTCATTAGAAGGTCAGACATGCTGAAGATCCTCATCAAGCTGTGACAGCTGATCTGACTGGCAGTAATACTGGATTTCATACCACAAAATGGGAGGCAGCCTATACTGCAGCAAAGGCTTGCATTATTTACAAAGACAGAAAATTGCTGAAAATACAGTACCGGGTATGCCAGGGGACCGATTAAGAGATAAAGCGTATTTTCCTTTTGCTTATCTGCTGGTGGAGGAGGGGTTTGTTGTGTTTTTAAGAGATATAGGGTCCTTCCATTAACCTTTCCCAGGTTTCCCAGGCCCATATTATACGCGGTTTTACGCTCCAAGGCAACCCTTATGATCAAATTAGATCAATACCTTAATATAAACCTACAGACCGGAAATGCTTTACAAGCAGCAGTGCGTGCAGGAGAACTTTCATAGTCTCAGCATTTAAAGGTGGGGTAGGTAAGTTTAAGAAACCGTCTCGAGATACACTTTTTGTTATATTCCATGGAATGCTCTTAACATCCCGATAGCAATGAATATCTTAAGTGCTTTGACAAAAAATCCATAAAAAAATGTCATCTGTGGAAGCAGTAGTACTGTAAAAAGCACGACCAATCATTTTAGCTGGCCCGGCTAAAATAACTGGATGGCCTACCTGCCTGTCAGCCTTCCATCTGTGCACACACTTATCTCGTGCCCTCATTGGTCATGTGCGCGTTCGTGTGTGTTGGAGGAGGGGCTCTGTAAGGAAGTGGCAGATTTTCTCCAGCTGTGTATTTTCAAATTCTAGCGATCTCGAGCTGGTTTCTCCAAAATTACCTACCCCATCTTTAATGAAGCAAAATGTCAAATGAAGCCATCCCACTCTGAAGGGGCCGGCACACTTCATTTCTCAGGCTCTACCACCAGGCTCCATGGAGACCAATCTCAAGGTGAATTAACTGTCCTTGAATTATTGATGTTTCACTCTAAATCGCTGCTGTGCAGTTTGAGGACGCTTCAAAGAGCCAGTAAAGCCCTCCTCCCTGAGGCCAGTAAACCCTGCACACTGCACAGGTCAAGTTATCTCACTCGGGTCACGATAATGACCGAATGACCGATACTCCTTTCAAGATGTGAAATGAGATCCACTGATTGGTAAAATATCAGCTCCAGACACGTTAAGATGCCCCACTCTGCTCTAATCTCTGCAGCTGAGATGAGAGCAGGTACCAAAAGGGCAATGCTCTTTTAAATTAGGCATGCATTATTGAGTGCGGCATTTCCTCTGACAATGACTAGTTAACTTGAAGAACAAGACAACACTGAGTGGATAAATTCAGTTCCTGCCGTTTCTCTTTGGCACAAGAGTTCCTCTTTACTGTCCGGACTGACGATAGTTCTAAGAGCTTCTGTAGTGAAATGTGACGACTGGTGATACGAAGCGTCCTGCATCGAGAGGCCTCATTCACTCAGCTCTCATTCACTGATGGTCCCTCACTGGGAAAACGCTTTGATGATGAAATTAAGTGAAATATGCTGCAGCAGCCCTTCTTGCTGTGCTATCTGTGAGTGAACCAGGCCTTCACTCTGACTGCTGTGAGGGACTGACAGGCTTTAATCAGCTGTTTATGTGAATTACTTTCAAACATGTTTCCACTGATTTTTCTGCTGCTCAAACCTTTTGAATATTCGATTTACAACAACCTATGGTGTTTTTTTATGTTTAACAATCGGTCAAATCCCAGCTAACCATGTCAACAGAACAACGTGACGGCATTCAGTGCGTGTTTCAAGTGACATCATGAGGCATATACAGCTACAAACAATATAATGCGGAAAATAAAATGTAATTTTTCTCTCTATTTTCTGTATCTTGCTTCACTTTTTTTACATATGGATGTTTATATGGTATCCTTATCAACCAGCACAGCTACATGATTTGTCATTATGATTTAACATCGTAACTCCGTCATAAGTATGTGTGACTGTGTATGTAATTAAGGATGCATACAAGGTTATCAAATTCAAGTTGTATTATTATAATTTTTCAAGGGCATTAATTATTATAGATTAAGATCAATAAGTTAACATAAGGCCAACATCACTTGGTGCTTATCTATATAACAGTCACCGGTATTCACTGCTGCTTTAATGAAGCACCACTTACCAAACAAGGGGGTAGGTCAGAAGAGGGAGAAAGATTTACAAAAGGACCCTCGTCTGCAGACAAACTTCACAAACACCCATCAATGATGAGATCATATTCATTCAACAGTTTATAATGCATGGTCAGTAATAAGCACAACTTAAGTCTGCAACATTGTTAATTTGTTCGCTTGGCTTTCAGAGGGTCGCTCTTATAGAAGTCCACTTGAGTTTTCAAAGTAACGGAGGTTACAGAGAGCTTGTTTAACCACTCTTTAAATTGCTTATGTTTTAATGACCATCTGAATCTTCCTCTACTCCTACTGTCAGAGAAAATAAATCCTCTTGAACACAAGAAATATCAAAGCCAGATAGTTATATTGCATGATATTTCAAGCAAAGGAATACTCTAGAACAGTGGTTCTCAACTGGTCAGGCCTCGGGACCCACTTTTTCCTTAGTCAATAGATTGCGACCGGTCTGGGGAGATTCTAAATACTAACATATAAACTAAGCATTCTGGTACACTCTGAAAAGAAAAGTGTACCAGAATCTATTACTACCCGACATATTAATAATATGTTATGCCATTGTTTGTTTTTCACTTTGTTCTGACAGCTGAACTTACTGCTCCACACAGAGAGAAGAGCAAAGAGGAGATAGTCTGTGTGAATTACTTTAAATTGTGGGTAAGGGTAGATAGCCCCCATTGTTCTGTGACCTGTCAATCATCAAACCGGGGGTCATATTTCATTACGTGTTCATTTGTATCTGAAGTTGTACCCATGGATGTATAAAGAATAGTTTTACCGCGAAGTTATTCTCCGTGGGGACTTCCGGCAACAATCTTGATTCTGATTGGCCAGAAGACTCGAAAAAACATCAGCTAAGATGCTTTATTGAGGTGATCACTACGTGACAGAAGTTTTCAGACCCATTTATGGTCTCCGTTACTTCCAGTCCAACGCTTACTGCATGCACAGCGTGAGAAAAAGTAAAAAAAAAAAAAGATTATATATTTTTTTCTTCACTCACACATCTGCGACCCACTTGAAACGGGTCCGCGACCCACCAGTTGAGAACCACTGCTCTAGAAAGCATGCTTGGCCACACTGAAAAGTAAATCATTTAGAGAACAATTCCTCTAACACTTTCACACCGTAAAAGAGATTGAGGGTCTCTGTTTGATAACGTCTACAAGGTTCTGAAACGTTTTATTTAGTTTTTAACAATCAAAAACGTACTTAAATTCCTCTGCCAGTAACCTTCAGTGCCTTTGATAGTGCTCATCCACAAAGTCAAACAAAGGACCATTTGAATTTCAAACACTACATTTATGATTGGTTACAAATACATATTTTATAACATGAGTTCAAGGCTGAAGGACACTCTTATCTCCTCACAGGCCTGAGTCAGATAGTTTGGGAAGAAATGACTAAGCCCAGTAACATAAGTTTATCAGAAGAAAATAAATGTAAGTATCTATGCTACCATATAACATACTGTCTTCTTAACAGTCAGGAGGAGCACTAGTAAAGAACAGATCATTGTGCAGGAGCAATAAAGAAAACTAAATTTAGCGAGTGAAGTGCAGACAGGTGAAAGGAGTTTTGATAAGGTGGTCTTGCTCAGCGAAGACTGATGAGAGCGTTTTATCCTCCATGGCTTCTGTGCTTCCAGTGAATGATTAATGTGACATCATAAAGGCATTAAAGCTTCCAGCACCCGAGCAATGCAGGTGAGTGGTGACTGCACTAACAAACTGCTAAGGAGCTATGATTCTCAGGGCCATTCACAACTCTCCTGAATTAAACTAGTCGCTGACAGGCTCCCTTG